TGGTTCAACTCCCCACTGCGTATTTGGAATATTTGTCATTTTATCTGCAGAGAGCAACACAGTTTAATTCTATCTTCCGAGATAGAGACGATAATCAGACCCTCGTGCAGCAAACACCGGCTGAATAAACAAACACGCCCATTGCCCTGACTGAAATTGACGTCATACACAAGAAGCTAAGCGACTTGATCGCTGGACTGGTTAGTTCATTCGATGCAGGAAATAGAGCAGACAATGCTGCGAGCGCGGATGGCTGAATGCTGCATACACGGCTGACAGAATGCTGTGTGCACGGCTGACAGAATGCTGCATGAAGGGCTGACAGAATGCTGTGTGCACTGATGACAGAATGCTGCATGAATGGTTGACACAAAGCTGTGTGCACGGCTGTCAGTATGCAGCATGAATAGCTGACAGAATGCGGGACGATAGCAAAGACAAAGTATTTGCAGAAAATGCATTTCATATAGGAATAGAATATTTATATTGCAATCAGAAAATCGAATATTGTTATAATAGTAAAATAAACAGCATGTAACGCTATATTATACAGCAAGACATTTTAACAATAGTTCCAGTACATTGGAAAATATGATGTAAGAAGACGAGCAAAGTAAAGTTGTTATATGAAAATTCGTCCGTCTCCTGAATAATTGTATGCTAAAACAAGGGAGTAGAAAGGAATTCACAATTCAGATGAGCAGCAAAAAACTAGGCGACCGTAAGTCCACACAAAGAACCCAGCTCGGAGCAGCCAAGCCAAGTCTCAGTAACGTGAGAGGCCTGAGCCCCAGAACCCAAGACGCTGCCATGCCGGCAGGAAAACAGCGGTGAGGAGCGACAGAAGGATCATACGAACAGCAGTGAGGAACGACAGAAGGATCATACGAACAGCAGTGAGGAACGACAGAAGGATCATACGAACAGCAGTGAGGAACGACAGAAGGATCATACAAACAGCAGTGAGGAACGACAGAAGGATCGACAGAAGGATCATACGAACAGCAGTGAGGAACGACAGAAGGATCATAGGAACAGCAGTGAGGAGCGACAGAAGGATCATGGGAACCGCAGTGAGGAGCGACAGAAGGATCATACGAACAGCAGTGAGGAACGACAGAAGGATCATACGAACAGAAGTGAGGAGCGACAGAAGGATCATGGGAACCGCAGTGAGGAGCGACAGAAGGATCATAGGGACAGCAGTGAGGAACGACAGAAGGATCATACGAACAGCAGTGAGGAGCGACAGAAGGATCATACGAACAGCAGTGAGGAGCGACAGAAGGATCATACGAACAGCAGTGAGGAGCGACAGAAGGATCATAGGAACAGCAGTGAAGAACGACAGAAGGATGATGCCAACAGTTAGACGAGCGACGGCACATCAAGAAGGCAGTCATAACAATCAACCACCGTAACGAACTATAAACAACAGAATACGAACAGTTAGAATAGTGAAATCAGCCATCACGATAGCAGTATAAAATCCTGCAAACGTAATGGAAGAACAGCTTTTCCAAACGTTCAGATTCGTTCACACAAACAAGATAACCTTACCAAGGCCAGGAATCTATTCTTACGGAAGCGTGAAGAAAATTATGACATTAATTATAAGTGACTAATAGTAATAACGACTAGTAATTAATGAAGAATAAACTTCACGCGAAGATGCCGACTGAAACACGAGTCGCCACTTCTTGACCGTGAAGGCAATAGTTTAATAGGATATGAGAATAGGGAACCCACAGACGTTATTAAAATTAGAACATAGAAGCAGGGAAGAAACGAACCAAGATCAATATAGATAGAGAAGACGATACAAGTGACGAGGAAATGAGATGAGTAATAACAACAGCAGAAAGAAAAAACTTCGCATGGACTCTGATTGAAGGGGAGACGCTCAGCAGGGGAACAAAAATATCAACAAAAAGTGGTGCAACACAACTAGGGGAAACGCCATTACCGCTCATGTAGAGCACAGCGAAGGGAGAAGCTGCCATTGGGAAACCAGAGCTAAATAAACGACTCCTTTGTCGGCCCACAAGACACTACAAAACGGCATAAGGTCCTTACATATCATATGAAATGTAATGCTCATATTACAAAATATGTAAACGACGAAACACGGATAAGAGCTATCATATAAAAATCATTAAGAATTTAGAGAGCCATCTTCGGCAAGGTTCATTGTCCAGCACCAAACAAATAAGTTTCAACAGTCATGAAAGTGGAGCGGCTCTACGTGAGCGATATTCATGCATGCATACATTCATGCGTATGACATACACAGCTTCACGCAAGCACACAAGCAACATTCACACATCAGACTGAACGACACCAATTGAGATAAAGCAGCTCGACAAGGCCATGAGCGTCCGCCACACCACAATGCGCCAGCCATCTTGCCGCCACGAGAACAAGCTGGTGCAGTGGTCCTGAGGCATCTAACAGTTCTTCAAAAACTATTGTGGAGTCGTAAACCTATTAGTCAATTTCTTCTCATTTTCCACATTGATTCTCTAAAATATAGAGAATTCCAACTAATTATTTCTTGTCCAGTAAAAAAGTTGAGTTGCTCGAATGGAATATAAAATGAATACGCCTCCAGTGTTCTTAGAATCAAAACATGATGAAATTAGGTAACGAATACGAAGCATCTGGTCCAGTGAAAGAATAGGGCTAATATTCAAACTTTGGCTGAAATTTAGACCCATGGATAGATTTTGAATAAAAAAAAAAGAGTAAACACAGACACGCGGAATTGTTTTGACTATTTGGGACGGGGCAGACGAGTCTAGCTGACTTATCAGTTACAGAGATCAGTGACCCATGTGGGGCTCAGCCGTCACGGTTGGAATGTCTACCGGCAAGTATAGCCAATATTGGGCACATCAGTTACGGACAGCATGGCAGCCAACCCAAACCATTTTTAAACCAAACCATTAGTAAAAAATATCGTTTGTTTGGAAGAGGATATCGTTTGTTGTATAAAAATATCGTTTGTTGGAACAACATTTAAATTAAATGTAAAAAAGAACAGACAACATTTATTGTTTCATCTTTCAACCTAAAAAAATAAAAAGTTGAGAACGCGAGTTTTCCTGAAACATTCCGAAATTTGACACAACGCGACTGTTTTCTATCTAAGAGATAACGATGACTCGAGTTACGAGGCTAGGGTCAGAGTTTCTGTGAGTGTTGAGAGAAGTTGAAGCTCACCATGCGGGTACGGTTAGGCCTAAACCAAATGACTGCCTTCACCCTAGAGCGTTCCCGTCTCCCGCCTAAACGGGAGAGGTTGAGAACGATGCCATGTTCGTACCACGATGTGGAACTAATGTCTTCTACTCGAGCCAGTGAATAAAACGAGTAGTTGTAAAGCTATAAGACAATTAAATGTATTCGCTCGAACTGATGAGAAGTCATTATTAGCGTGCCATCGGAATTTTAGATGGTTAGACGGTAAAAAATAAAAATAAATATGAACGCATAAACAATTCAGAACTTGAACCCTGTTACAACCATAATATCAGTAGCCAATTAGGCAATTTTTAGTAAGATAGATGCAGTAGAATTTGAAATTGTCGCCTTAGATATGGAATGCGCTAGCAAACTACATCGTTTAAGCTTTACCGTTAACCTAACTAAACACGGTGAGATGTTTAGTGATTGTGGTGATCTTGAGACTGTATTAGTTTAGAAGAGCAATGGCTTGAGTTACGTAAAGCTCATCTTCCGATCCTTCTTTGAACCTTCAGTTAGGTCACAGAAGCCGTAGATCGTGACCGCAGCAACAGCTGCACGCTAAAGCAGCTTTACTGAACGTAAGCTCTTAGTTCTATCTCGTGTGGTGCAATGCACACGGAGTCATGGACAAACTGAATGAAGCAAATTAACGCCACATGGTAGTGTGATAGAAATGTTTCAATAATGTCATCACAACGATTATTGAAACTCGTTTACATGGTTAAAAAATTACGTTGTCACGCACCTCGATACATTATATTTCATAGAATAAGTTATGCTAACACGTGAACTTAGCCGAACACATTTTTCTGTATCGCTCGTATTAATAAACAAAAATTCGGTTTAGTAGAACGATTCCGAAGCTCAAACAAAAATTACGGTATGTTTCAAATGAACTGATCAAATTGTTTCCAAATAACTGCATTTTATAGATCGTTGCCCTGATTCTAGATTTTCTAGAACCAAATCCTCCAAATATCTAGAACCATAGCTACATTTTGTTCAAAATATACAACATTAGGTAAACCTAATGTTACCTTTTTGACGGAAAAGCGGTTTCGGATTATCAATGGACCCTACGACCAATGTTAGTGGTAAATACACTAACTCATTCTTTCTCAAACAAGATTTTTCACTGAATAGAGCATTTACATAATGCACAGCTATATTTAATAGCTAGTTATATTCATAGTCCAATTTTAAAGAACATTTCTAAGAATCTTTTACAAATTTCCTCTGTTATTCGCCTACAATAATTCCGACAAAATTTTGTTCTTTCTTAAGTTGAGTACCTACGTAGCTAATTGATGATAGACGTATACTAAATTGCTATTCAATCACTTGGGTTCAAGGATCTGAAAAAATATTTTAAATACCCAAAAGTTTCTGCTGCTCCAAACAACAATAAAATATGGCACTCCAATTATATATATCGATAGATCTCCTACTTGCCCTGGTCACTACAAAGCTATCTCTTTAGCCTGTTCAATTACATACTACAGGATCACTGTTCAATTATCTACAATGGGATCACTCATCAATTACCTAGGCTAATAGAGGTCCACTGTTTAATTGCCTACTATTGGGTCACTATTCAATTACATACTACAGGATCACTGTTTAATTACCTACTGCAGAATCACTATTCAATTGCCTAATAAAGGATCACTATTCAATTACCTAGTACAGGATCACTAAAAAAATATCAGTTCTAAGATTCAAATTATGAATAGAAAGATTAGATTACTCACCAAGCGAAGTGGTTCTCGATCATGGATATGTTGGAGTGAGCAATGAGTTTCTGTTCCGGGCTGAGGCCGGCGTCCAAATCTGTGTTGAACTTCTCCCCCAACTGCTTGATGATGATGGCCGAATCAGCGATCTCTTCTCCATTGACTTCTACGAATGGAAGCTGTCCTTTTTTGCTCTTGTACTTCATCTTGTGGTCAACATTCTGCAAGACGAAATAGAAATATTTGAGATAGGAGACACGAGTTTTGCCTTCATCTAGTAAACGAAATTCTTACAAGACACAGGCGAGTAATTTTTGCATAGAAGAGGCAGTTCTCGTCCAGCGCAAAGCTTTAGTCCGAAAAAAATGTTCACTTGATGGATATTTTCTCAACGATACACAACTACTATAGGAAGACCATTATATCAGTTTACAGTCATGTTGTGGCTCATTACTGAATTTAGTGCTTATATGCACATAAGTTTACAATGGGACAACCAGTGGAAGGCAGCAAACATACATGGCATATTACACTAGTGTAAAGGGTGACATCCTTGTCGCCCTGAGGCAAGAGGAACGGATGCACCTGCCTGCTTAAAGCTGCTAGGTCTAAAGCGTCGATAGAATGTTGCATCCTAGAACACAAATCAACTAACTGAATGTCTTTTCATCTACAAACTATGTTCATGACGCACCAGAGCACTAAACAATTAACCTTTAATGATGATATCCCTACTGATGTCGTGCATCAACCCAACTAGGTCACGAGAAAACCGAATTAAATTAATTATGACAACAAAACTACATTTGGCATTGTACACAGAAAACTGCAAAACATCAAAAAATTATTAAACTAAAATATTTGCTGGTCTTCATCACTTTTGCTCTGAGCTTTTTTGCCGGCAAGATGTGCGAATTTAGGACATCCAGGTTTTAATTAATCATCAATAACAGGAAATAATACCACTTGAAATCAGAAGCAGTAAAAAATAACAGTGGACATGGAAGCATAACTCCGTTAGCGGTATTATGAAAATATGCCGATTAATAGAAGATGAAATAAAAGAAATAATGATAATAATGAAAAATATAAAAAATAGAAATAAATAAAATAGATCCAGCAGTGCAGAATGCGTACGATAGAAAATACTAAGTTAACTGCGGCAACGCCTAACCCGAGCAACAGGCAGACTAGAAAAATTTTGTGCACGCCTAGAATATCAATGAACGACGTCACCACAGCGGCTTACAGGGTCATGGCGAAAGTGTCTATAAACGGCTCGTGAGGATCGTGAGCACCCCTCACACTATAAATAACGTGAGGATCATGAGAAAGTCACACTATGAATAACGTGAGGATCATGAGCACCTCACACTATAAATAACGGAAGGATCATTAGCACCTCACACTATAAATAACGTGAGGATCATGAGCACCTCACACTATAAATAACGTGAGAATCATGAGCACATCACACTATAAATAAAAGAAAAGCTTCAGCTAGACATGTGATAGCTAACGTAAATAGCTAGACATTTGATAAGCGACTAAAGGTCGAACGGATTTGGAAGAAGGGAGTGTATGAACGAACGAAGATTGCATTTGAAATTATTAAAATTAAATGGAAAAATATCACCACAATCACATTTTCACGTATATAATCTGCATTTGAAAAATATGTCAACATAAAATGAGCTGGACCACAATATCACGTTTCGGAAAAATATTAGTCTGCCAAGCCTAATCTAAAAAATGTCGAGTTAAAGTATATTGCAACATGCAGGAACCCACATGAGTACATTTTCAAAGGGCTATCGAAAGGTTAGGCACTGCATAATGAATATCATGAATCGCTATGTTCTCGAGTTGTTGCGGGGGGAAGCGTGAAAAGAGAGCCCGTCAATCGCGGACACCGCCACGGCGGAGCGTGATCAGATCCCCCATCTCAGAGAGACGATCAATAGGAGCGTACGGGCGGCGAGGGAAGGAACTTTAGGACCGCACCCACTGAGAGGTCGATAACCTTACATGGAACACCCGACAAATGGCACACAAATGACTACAGGAGACGGGTAGTAATTCAATCATGGACTACCGTAACGATATATATTCGGCCAAGTCTATAATCTAGCTAAAAGAGCACCTCAAATAGCACCAAAATAATTTTCTTGTTCAGTTGAAATGAAGCAAAAAATTTCATCAACCCAAAAATATATACCGGTATGACAAAAGAAAAATCTCCGTTGAACTTCAAAAATTCAACACGAATTTCGATGAAAAAAAAATGACCTTTGGGCTTTGATGGAAAAAAGTTTGGGAAAATTGCCACGAGTCTTTTCGAGTTGACAAAACGAGATATGCATTAAAAAACTATGCATGTTGACCACACAGCAAGCTTCAGTCAGCCAATGGTAATGGCCTCCCGTAAATGTAGAACTGCAGGATGTTAGGTGTGCCGCTGTATCATATCTGCCAATTAGTAGCACGCGAGGGGGAAAGTTTTCTACCAAACGTAAAATATTCACAGAATAAGGAGATGTAGGATTTAAATTCTTCACAATCGGGAGCATTTGAAACAAATTTACGATAACAATGAAAGAAAAAAGATTAAAATTATACGTAGCCTTATCTCGAATGTAATTCGTCATACGAATGAAAAATAATAACTTTGACGGGGTTCATATACGCAACCGGTTTCAACAACCACGAGGCTTAGCCATTCTCATGGTTCACAATTCCATGAGGCTCCGACTGTCTCGTGGCTCATACATCCACGAGGCTCCGACAGCCTCATGGATCATCCACGAGGCTCCGACAGTCTCGTGGTTCATGCATCCACGAGGCTCCGACAGACTCATAGTTCATCCACGAGGCTCCGACAGTCTCGTGGTTCATGCATCCACGAGGCTCCGAGCCTCCGACAGACTCATAGTTCATCCACGAGGCTCCGACAGTCTCATGGTTCATGCATACACAAGGCTCAGACAGTCTCATGGCTCATACATCCACGAGGTTCCGAAAATCTCATGGCTCATACATACACGAGGCTCGAATGTCAGGACCCAGGCAAGTAGGGTTGGCAACGGAGGCGCAGCATAGAATATGGCATGCAGGACCGACCGCATGGCAGCGCAGGAGCTACGTTCCAGCAAACACCAATTGCTCGACCCTCGATCGAACTCGTCGAGCGCGACACTTGTTCAACCGCAGCCTTCGCCATCGCAACGGCAATGCCACGTAAAGTGAGAGTTAACTAACTGTACACGTGCCTAATAACAGATTGTGATGGCGATATTCCAGCAATCGGTAGAATTTAAGAATCAGCATATCGACAACATTTGTGAACCGAAATCTTAGCGGGATAATATCAGATAAGATATTCCACATCATTTCTTAGAGCATGGATTCCATGCAAATTTTTCACCGAAGTCATAACGACATGCTACACGTGAAAAATTCTGGTAGCTTGAGTCAAGATCTCCCGAACGACCTCTGTCGAAGATCACAGAGAAGCTATCGAGTGGAAGCGAACTCGATGGCTCATTGAAGTGACCTTGAAACCGGTTTTGGGAACCAGCTCAGCGAACTACTATTCCTAGAGCAAGATGGTCGGCAACAAGAACTCTACTCGACCTATGTCGTTACTTCATCACAATAACATAGTCAGTATGAATGACGTTTGGTATTAAAGATAAAACATTTAATCATTGGGATAATTACCTGTTACGACGCAAGTCGACAAAGTCATCCTTGAGTAAAAAAAAAACTATCATTGACCATGTGTTATTAAAGTCTTTGTAAAATTACGAGGAAAAGCGATTTAAATGATAGGATGAACAAATTCATTCTAAGGCCATTCATAATTTTTAATTGGTCAAGAAAGTGCAACCATGCACATTCAGTCAATTTATATTTCGTATTGAATAGCCGATCAAAAACTAAATCCATCCAAGCTAACGAAATACAGCGAATCACGCAGCATCATAGACAAACAAATATAATTCCTAGCTAAATATAATCTCTCCAGCTAATGTTGGCTGGAGGTTACTTGAAGTAATCGCACGCAAGGGAAGTCTCGAAAGTTCTCAAGCGACCAAAACACACGCTGCTCATGGCCGTGCACTAGAATAGGACGGCGTCGAAACCACAAATGAGGCTGTAAAGCCTGTTTCACAGTTAAAATTGTGCGCTGCAACCAGAGTCCTGCGTTACAAGCCTTGGTTGTCATATTATTCGAAATATCTTACGGTCATTTATCGCGTATGAATAATATTTAAGCAGTAGATAATACACGGATCGATAGCAATGACACGAGATCTCATAGTTTCTTCTGTTGGGCTCTTGAACCGCACGTGTCCTTTTGACTTTAATCGAAACCTCTCGAATACCAAAAAATTTCACAAGCAGAAATTACAGAAGCCAGTGCTGTTTCATATATAAACAATTATTAGCAGATATTAGTTGTAAATGTTTGCAGCATGGAGTTTGACCGTTTAGCATTTAGCTAATCACGTTCTTGACACAAGATTGTGAAAACTTCTGCAGGGTGTTAAAATAAATATTGTATCAATGAACCGTCTAATCTACCGTTATAATCTATAATAATTTGACTTAAAACGGAGACCAGGAGCACAAGAACAGGAAACTAACTAACGATAACGACCATCAGCGGCATTGATCGTGGTAATGTAACAGGCACGACACGAGGTGAAGGAGAGTGGGTACGCTAACCTAACCCTCTATTACTCGATCGATAAAGTGTACCCGACAGCTGCACTAACACTTGTGTAATGGTAATATTAGATGACTTAGAAAGGTTGTGTTCCCAACCGAAAATGCTCATGACATTGCAGCTTTTTATGACGTACTGTCACGATATTACGCAAGTTTCAGCGAGTCAAAGTGATAATTAAAAATTAGGAACTTGCTCAACCAAAAACCATAGAAATATTATGAAGGATCCTCAGATGGCTGAATATCAGGAGTCACCGTACAAAGTCGCTCAAGCCTCAACTTATCAGTTGCTCGGATGCAAACGGCTTCACGCCACATCACGTGAAACCGAATATCGGCCAAGGAAGCGGTTTACCGCACGAATACTGAGCTATCGCAGCCAGCAAATTTAACCGAACTAAATTTGTACCACAAAAATTTGTGGCGTGAGCGAGAAAGCTATCAAAGTAACCAGAAGAAAGCCAGCAACTGTAGAAATAGGAACATTTCTCAAATGACGGCAACCAGCGTCTCGTGAGGACTTGACAATGAACAATTGGGTCTGCACATTTTTATTCCTATTTCCATTAGGCAAGGGGATGAAATTACCACGATTTAATGAAATAATATTGCCTTGTACGGAATAGAAAGATTCCAACATTAAAATGATGACCCATCTATTAATACATGTTAACATTTCAAATAAAAAACCAACAGGAAAATGAGAAAAGTCAAGCAGGCGTCCGCGTCACCCAAACCCAAGAAACATGGGTAGAAGCGAGCGTCTGGCACACCCGAGAAATAGGAACGAGTTATTAATTCATTAAATTGTTTTCCAAAATTGAGCAAGAGTTTATTTTGAAGTTGCTTTAGGCAAATATAGGAGGATTAATCTATAACATTCGAAATTTAAAGGCTTAAGCTCATGCGGCAGCTTTGCACAAAACATGTACCGGCAACAGCACACAAGGACGGACCTCCGATGAGAGACTGTCTGACAAAAGCGTTACTGAAATAGTAACTACCTACTTCTTCCTTGCACTCGGTGAACTAACCAAAAGAACACAGAAAATGATCGTTTCAAACATGGTTGTTGCGTATTTCATTCGGAAGGCTAGCCCGATGAATTATTATTTACTTAATCAGTTACATGATCACACGGACTGGAACATTATTGACAGTTGGCTTCGTTCTCACTCACCTCATACTTGAGTCCCGCCAGCCTGAGCCAAGTCTCCACCTTGAGACAGTATGGGGACAAGGATGGCAGTACTGGAGTACGCATGAACTGGTACAGATACACCACATCGGGCTGGTAATCAGCCTTGTGTACGGTAGGTTTAGGTGGAGCGGGTTCTTTCTTGGGTTTAGCAGCTTTGTCGGAAGAATCCTTCTCTTTGTCCTCCTTTTCCGCTTTATCGTCGCTCTTCTCCTCTGCGTTTTTCGCAGCCTCTTCTTCTTTCTTTACATCTTCTTTGACTTCTTCAACATTCTTCTCCTCTGCCTGCTGTTCAACAGGCTTTGTTTCAGTGTCGGTAGTCATGGTTAAAACTAGTAACTTCACTAACACCGGTTACCAGTAAAGAATGAGCGTTCAGGAGCTTCACACCACCGCCTATGAAGCACACAACTCACTGACTGAAGAGCCGAAGCCGCGCCCGCTGCAGACGCGTCCGCGCAGACGTCGCAGCCACGCCGCCGCGCCCTTCTCCCGTAATGAATAAGCTACAGGAATGTTATACTTTTTCCGGATATTTCAGCAGCCTTAGATAAATAAAACGTATGAATTTGCAGAATATTAAAATTATAACATTCAATCTAACTCATAACTCAAAATCATTCATGAATCTAATGTAATTCATTTCGATTTATAGAAATACACACAATGGTCGACGCGGCTATGTAGAGATGTGGCGTTGCCCGCCATTTTTAAAGGTCTGCCGGTACTAGAGTCTGCTATTCTAGTTCGTGCCGTAAATATTATGTACCTCAATTCGGCCTTATCTTCCTATTCTTTCTCAAGTTTGGAGCATGATAAATATCTTTTAGTTCTTTAAGCATTTGTGGGAATATAAACTAAATTGGTGCACCTTACTTGGTCATGCAATCATAAAAAGCTAACCAAGGATAGCTCTCAAACACGACCTTTCAATAGTGAACAGCGCAGCGCTCCGTTTTTAGCCTATTTATGCAGTCAAGTAGGGTTCTACTATGAGCGTGAGTTTTGCGATCATAATAGACCAAATTTTATGTCAATGAGTAAAATATTGAAATTAGACAAAAGAAATTAATTTAGTGTATTAACTGAGAAGATGTGTACCGTGTAATATATTTTTGATTACTTTGTGATAGTAACGAAGTCTTGTGTACATCGGTTCATCACAATATGATAAATACATCTAATAATCTAGCAGTCATTTAACCAGTAAACTTCCGACAACCAGAAGAATTTTCGAGCATGAGTTAACATTTAATCTGTGGAACAAGATAAGTATTATTTTTTTTATCAGTCGTTAAGATAACACGTCTGGCAGGGGCAGCTGCGCTGTAAGGTCAGACGGTCTACAGTGCCCGTGAAAACTATGCTCCTGGGAGCCGTTATCTAACTCAAGTGGGGCGCTGACTTGAGAAGGAATTGCGTTTGCATGGGGAAAAGCAAAATCAAAACATGTCTCTGAATCTCGCAGATCTTCTGTGTATAAGTAACGAAATTAATGTTTTAATGTACACATTCAGCTTGTATAATTGTTCTTGTTCATACAATTGTTTATAATGCAGTTTATATAATTGTTCTCTGAAAATTGTTTTATTTCCAGTTTTCATTGTTTTATTAAAAAAACGAGGACCAAACAACAATGATATATATTAACAGCGCTCAAATATCATTCAACGAATTCATTATAAACCTAACCCATCAAAAATAATTTCTAAGATTGTCAGTGCATGTTTATATAATGCAGACATATATAATATAATATATTATAATTTAAAATAATTTAATTATATAATATAATACTAGAGACACTAGCAGTGACCTCAAAAGCTACACGCGGAAATTGCAAGCCTAGTTCACAGAAACAATAAATCCAGTCCTTATGAAATAATTTGTGATGAAAGCACAAAGTTCTGATAAGATAAGATAACTGAAATTTCTTTCCGTGAGATATCATGATCACGTTAAAAGTTAAGATGCTTGTAAACGATCGTTTCGTTGAAATAAAAACATAAAAAGTCCAATTTTCTTGATAAAAACTTTCACAGTGAGAGAAAGCAACAGCAGGAGAAAATGAGCGTCATGGAAAAAGCGCCAATAAAAGTTGGCGTCTCGCCAAGCGTTGACTGTCGCGAACAAATTTATTTCACAAGTTCCCCCATTAGTTACGATGGAGACGTCATTTCTGAGACGACTTTCAACCTTGAAAAAATATCTCTTTCGCTTGTCATCCATGCCTGGGTTGTCTATGGTCAATTACTATCATAAAGAATTATAAGGGGACTTTTGATTCAGGGGGTCGATCTATAGTCACGGAGGTTAATAAGATACGGTTTTATTGTGAAGTTGATATTCCTTTCTTAAGGATTTTGGTATCGAAGTTATTCAGGTGAATCTTGTTTCCCTATTTTGTTGAAGGTTTTATGAATTAATTAACTGGCTAGATTTGTTATTTGTTGACGCTGGTACTGATATTATACTGATGTTTACTGTTTAACAATAAAATTATTGCTGCTGTTATAAGTTCTATTCTAAATTATGTATAGGCTTTTAAATGTTTCAACATGAGATTACAGCGTTCACATAGCATAAATGCTCGCTCATATTTTGTAGAAATTGCTTGTTATCCTATATATTTAAAACAAAATGTCATAATACTTCTACTGGTCTTTCCTCCAGCAATCTTCAATGGCGCAATAGCAGCAGAAGCAACCACCCTCCTCAATATGTCCCTGAAAAGGGCACTCCTATAAGCACCCTATTATGAATGATGACTTGCACGACCCCATCACTCTCGATTATAACTCTGCAAATAAAAAGCTTATGCGCTGAGAGAATGAATACGAACTATTCAGATGAAAGTAAATGGATGAATTACGAGGCCATTGGGACATCGATTAGACTGGGACGTATACACTGAACTCGTCTTGAAGTCAAACGAATGCTTTCATTAAAATTAAGTGAAACTCTTTCCGTTATGTGATTTTAAATACATGTTAACAGTACAAATTATTCTATGAATGATGTATGACTGAGACTTGAAGGTATAGGCTTGTAGTCTTCCACCTTCCAGACAATTATTGAAAGTTTCGTTTCGTATTCTACTATCATCAGGCAATTATTAAAATTTTAATGTCTGATCTTGCAACAAAGATAGAAAGTTATGTAGTTTTCTATCCACAGACTACGATGGAAAGTTATGTAGTCTTCTATCCTCAGACTAGGATGAAAATTTATGTAGTCTTCTAACCTCAGACTAGGATAGAAAGTTAAGTAGTCTTCTATCCTCAGACTAGTATAGAATGTTATGTATTCTTCCATCCTCAGACTAGTATAGAATGTTATGTAGTCTTCTATCCTCAGACTAGCATAGAATGTTATGTATTCTTCCATTATATTATATTATATAAGATATTATCAGCATATTACATTGCATTACAAGTTGATATAACATCAGCGGATCAGGATGATATTATATCAGGTAACGGTGATAGATCAGGAACAAGCGACTTGAGAAAATAATTAATGTTACATAATATATCATTCGCTCTATTGAAAATATAATCTCTTTTAATTATAGACCTTCCAAGTAAATTAAATTCATGAATAAATAGTTAACTTTTGTGACGGTGTCCAATTTTCTTCTCCACCGTATCTTTTTCAGTGTATATTCGTAGTTCAAGCTTCACTAGGAACGACGACGCGGGCTAGCCTGTTTGTTTTCATAAGTCCTTTGCATTGGCGAAGAGATCCGCGCCGTTCCGAGCAGCCTTATCCCTATAGCTGTGGCTTTGCGGTAATATCCCTTCGTGACTCAATAAACAAACCTCATCCTTTGGTAAACTTCTGTCACGAATAGATAACCACCCCGGCAGTCAGATATAGAGGTGATAAAGCTGTGGACTTTGATTTACCACATAAGCCAGAAACCTTTAAGTCTCCACGAATGTTATTATCTTAGCTAGGTTTATTTTTGTGCGAGTACAGCACCTCAAATTTGTTGGACATGTTAGAGTTTACCAGATCAGTACTTGAGATCTCTGAACAATTCTAATCAACCTAGTGTAAAAAACTTATTTTTAAAAATATATTCATGATATACACTCGTAGAATCCGACAATAATTGAATTTTATATTGATTGCAAATTTTCCAATTTAAATTCTAAGAATGGTAAATATAATTCTATTACACTCTTCCGAATGAAAGTTCTCCTTAAATTTGCTCACTTGTATTTATATATATATATGGCTAATAATAATAATAGTTAAGACAATAGTAATATTATTAATATTTGGAGTAAAGTTAATTTAACGAGGACCATGCTAGGAAGCTATATTTTAACGGTGCAGGAGTAACGCGGTAACGTACAAAAATTCGTTGTGTGATTGATCACGTTGCGCGTCCCACTCAGAGCAGTAGGCCTAAACCCCTCACTCGTCTCTCAACGATCCATTTATTATGCGAACTATTCATCTCCAGGAGCCAGCTAGCATTCTTGACAATTGTAATTTGTATAATTTTGCTTACAAATGCTAATTTTAGCCAAAAATTTATGACTAATATTGTGACTATACAGCTTGAACACAACCTTTTGACAAATCACGTGCTCAATAAGATTTTGCTTCATCAACCAAAGGTCGCGATGAGCGAGTAAATGTCACTCCTGTTTAATTTATTAGATGCAATAATGCATAGTTTGCCCTCATTTTGGCACTAGACATCCAGGTTCCTACGTATTAATTCCTAATCTATTAAAATGAGAACAGCATTTAAACTACATTTTCTTAGCATTGTAACTTTATTACCGCTCGCGCAGATGCATGCGGTACAGTGTCAATACGAATATAATGGTATAGATGGCTCATTCAATTTAATTAAGTCTGACCGACTTATCAATATTAGCCTTTTCGTGGCTGTTACTATGGTTATCGGACTAGAAATTATTTACAATTAAATTGCATCGAAGATGAGCCCATACTTTTACGGCTACAATCATCATATGTATTGACAGTTTCAGGACTGGCAGGAATAATTCAGGAATTTCTCCAGTGTCAGGAATAACACATTGCGGCCTATGTACAGGTAGCGGCTGAGTTCTCGTCTGTGATTGGTGGGTTTGACTTGAAAGGCCGTCAGTGATTGGCCGAGTTACGAACTTGTAACTTATGTTGATAGTACGTCCCCTGAATATTTATCCACTCAGCCAGGCTGTGTACGTCATTCTATTTCTGCATTCTCATAGAACTGCTCATGCTTTTAAAGAAAACCAGAATTTCACGAGCACTCGCCACTCAAGCTGGATATTTTATTTTATTTTTTTTTCCGCCATGACAACGGGCACTCACGCTGTATTTTAAATTTTATTTTATTTTTTTTCCGCCATGACAACGGGCACTCACGCTGTATTTTAAATTTTATTTTATTTATTTTTCGCCATGACAG